CATCTTACCCGGACAATATCAACTGCCTGTGAATTGAGTGGGAAATTTCCAATATTCTCTCACAATGGCAAGCGATTACGTCTTTGTTTTGTCCTATGGAATTAACCAGACGTGGTATCCAGAGGGTTACGACACCCCAGATTATTCGCCAAATTAAACTCTTCAACTGATCGCACGGAGAACACCGCTAACTACCGGGGTTTGTGGTGACACAGATCTCACATGAAGATGGGAACAAAAGCTCAAATATGTTATCGATTCATAGGTAGTTGACAAAGTCCCTAAAAAAGGCGACTTTGCTTCACCACGGGGACAGGCGCACAACACTGGTGAGATGTTGCCCCTGATGCAGAATGATTGTTTCTTCGTTGGATGGTTTAGCTAGTCACCAACTGTCTTTATACCTACGGAAAAAGCTTCAAGAGTAAGTTCTTATCTTATAAGTACTGTTGCTCTGTTTCCTCCAAGGAAGTCTCATAATATGTCTCATTTACAGAAGACCCTAGATAAGTACAAAGTAAATGTCTCCTCGTTTTTCTACTGTTCCGTAGCGGAAAGTCGTCCAGTTCCGCAGATCATCTTAGCCATCCAGCGTGCGGTCTGATACGACTAAGGTGTTTTTCATCTCCCATAATCCACCTTCGATTTTGCTATTAGTGTAAGGACAATCACGACAATCACGCAATCACAAACTGTAAAGCACTGTAAAGCAGCTTCACAAGCCCCATAATAAGGTTCACTTTTCATTAGACGTGAAGCGGAGCTTCGAGAAAACCACAGGCTACCCACATGCCTCACCAGTACTGGACGCATTGCAGTAGTATTTTATATCATTCGCTTTTGTGCATCTTAAAGGGGGATTTTTAACTCTCATCAGTTTAATGAAATATAGACAGGCCCGGCTTAACTATACTAGTCAAATATGACCTCTCTAAAAGAGGACTGTTTAACTCAAGAATTAATATTCAGAGGCAAATTGTAGGGTCCCCCTAATGCGTGCACAGCTCTATATTATTTTGTTTAAACCTATGCTGTAGTACATCATCGAGGAGAAGTCCTTGGGCGGTTTCAAATTTTCAGGAATTTACCCGAGACTCACTCAGATGTTTCGATGCTCTTTCTTGACGTGGCCTAGAAGATGATGATGTTGTTGAGGTTGTTCGATTTTCAGTTTTTCCAATCATTTCTTATAACGGGTGACATTCTGGTCTTCTGTAGTAATACACCATTGTATTTGCATCATACCGTTTTTATGTATGTCCTAGAGCAACGACAAAGTGAAATAACGTTTAACTTATCATCTCCTCTTTATATTCTTGACATTTACTGACGAAAGTTTATTCATTCTGTTGGAACTGTTCAACGTTTTTTTCGTCACTATAGAATCTGTCGATGGCCTCTCTCTCCTTTAAGATCACAACAGAGCGTAATTCTTGAATGTCTTCTATGTCACAAAATTTAGACGGCGAATTCTGACATATCTGCTGAACGCGTTTGCAGAGTTATTGTGGACAGCCCAGATGTTTGGTTTTGAAAAAAATGGCGCGAGAATCAGATGTTGCTGATTCATTATGAAGAATTCGGAGTGAGCGTATTTGTTGACTGATTTCCAGGCTTTCAGACTGGAGTAAAGAGATTTGTGCAAACCTTCCGGAATTAGGTGTTCAGTGGACAGTAATCATATATCGAATTTGTGTCAAAGTAGACAAGGACACTGATTGCAAGTATAGCGTGGGTCATGGGGTAGATGAAATTTCGTTAAAGTCATCGTTGAGTAGAGCTGAAAGGGTGTGGCAAAGAGTACTGTGATCAACTACAGTCAAGAAGAGTGAAATGGCCGTTACATTATACACCATATATGTAATGGTGCTTACTCAGGAAACTGCTTGGAGGCTAAAAAATTGGGAGGCTAAAAAGACTGAACTAATTCGAAACAAATTCCACTGCGGGGAAGGCTCACAGACTCAACCACCTTAGGTTATGTTAGAGTAGCTTACACTTGGGCAAACATGGCTTGGTAGATCTTAAGACCTAATGAAGCGACAAACACCAGATACTAAGATCTCACTGACCACCGTTTAGAGATCTGTGCGCATTCTGTGAGAGCCCTATGCTCAAAAAATGGTGGGATAGAGTCTGCCGTCTGACAAACAACAGGAAATTTATTATATTTTTAGTTTTGTTCTTGTTTATCGTCAGGTTCCATTTACCGAAGACCCACCAGAGTTTGACTGGCTAGATCTCGAAATCCATAGTGATGATAGCAAAACCGAGGTAAGCGGATAGATGCTATGTACTTTGCATGTTTTTGAAGTACTGCACGTGTTTTACTGAATAAAATTGTGAGATGAAACAACATGTGGAATTTAAGTTCTAAAGGGGAGAGAATCGCCATTTTGAACCAACCAGTTGCCCACAATCAAAACCTAATGTCGACAGTCTAGATCTCAGAGATCACGCGAGAAATTCAACGCTACGCTCCTTTAAGTAACCCCAACTAATTTATTCACATTATCTTTCACACGAAGTGTAAACAGTTCTCGAATGTATTCGTGGGTCTTACTTTTACGTGTGGCATCGTTTGCCAGCACAGTTCTGTTCACAAATGTTAACTACTCATGAGTAGCAAAATGGCACATTCATTCGACGCGAATCACATGGTGGTTCTTTCGATCGTTGCTTTCATCAGTCTTCTGAAAGAAGAAACGTTTTTTCTCATTCGAAATAACAAATACTGAAATACGATGCTTGCAGTCGAAACCATCGCTTTGTTTACAGAACCCTCGGTATGCTCAGAAGAATCAGAATAGCCGTTTTCAATATAACGTAGTGAAGTGGATTTGACAAAAGTATTCATAATACAGAAGTACACTAATTTGCAAACTAATTTGGTTTCGCGAGAGACTCACTTGGAGCCCAACTGGATATCTCGTCTATAATGTTTTCCAGTTGAGTGTCCCACAAAACCAAATTTGTTCTCAATTGAGTGTATTTTGAAAATTTTCTGAAATTTGGGATCAAGTAGAACGCAGGGGTATGCGCGTACCTGATGAGCCGTAAGAAAAGAAAAACCGGTTATGAGCTGTCAAACAGTTTTCAGCAACCTTTTGAGTAGTGTATTTGCCATAACAACTTTTTTACAAAGCGACTACCTAGCAACTTGCTGTCTGAAAGACACCACTTTGAAAGTTTATGTACATATGTAGAGATGATGGTCAGCAAAAAGTTTGTGTTGGATGAGTATCACCCCAACACATCAAAATATGAGGCATTCAGTGATTTCAAACGAATTTTAGCATTTGGCTTAACATCAACAAATTAAAAGTGTCCAGGTATTTAATCGTTTACGTCTACATCTTTTGTTCCAAAGGCCGGCGTAACGAATGAACTTCGCTGCTTCGGATAGTCAAAAGCGTTGCAACGAAAAATTTAAATTCGGAATTTTGAGATCTAGATAGATCGCGGAATATGGATGCCATCGTTGTAGACTGTTTCATAACGTGCACTAGATTGAATCATAAATACTCCATGTGTTTGCAAATTTATGCGACTATGCTTTTAGCGCTGTACGGACATTGAATACAGGGGACGATGATCCCCCGGCAGTGAAATTGTTTGCTGCAATTCATAAAAGCAGGCATGCCCACTGCAACAAATGAGCTATCAAGTGTGCAGATTTCAAAGTCAACACTGACGGTAAATCAAAGAACGTCGACTGCTTATCTAATGGATAAAGCACAAAATCGACGTTATTTGATAACCATCTTTTGAAATCTGGGCCATTACTCGTGTACTTGGTAACTTACCAGATGCTAGCCTGTCAACTGACACCTTTAAAAATAAACTAATGGAGCGGAAGAATTGTGCAAACATTCAACATTGGATGACATCTTGCTCCAAAAGTTGCGCTTCTTGGTGATCGCTTGAACCTCTGTTTAGCTGGTAGAGAACAGGGACTGTAGATCATTTCAGGATCACGAACAAGGGCGTCAAATAGGTAGCCACAACGTAACCATCCCTATTGATGTTTAGTGTTCACTGGTCAAAATTAGAAATAAATGAAGACAATCCCATATTTGTAGCATAAACTTTATAATCACTGTGACGGCCACGGATGCAGGGACACGTTTAACTAATTCAGTGTTTCTGTCACAAGGAATTTTAGCAACCAAGATAAAGGAGATGCAATAAGTGTCATTTTAGAATGGTCAGGGCAACCAATGATGTGTGCGGCAATCGAGATACTATTTCGGGGGCATATCGTTACCAAATCACCTGTATTAGTTTTTGTGTATCGCCAAAATAGGTGATTTTACTGTAGTACGCCTTCTGAAAATCCTGCTTATACAGACAAACTAATATACAGTTGAAACTTTTAACCACTTCCCATTACCAATAGTTGGGACTAGGGGTAATCACACGCGGAAAATGGATATTAAAACCAACACAGTTTTTTCATTCTTCTTCGTAAATCTAGCGCGGTGGAACTGCGCTAAGATCACTCCTTACTGTATACAAAGCTTCGCTTCAAAAATGCTAGGAAGAAGTAAATTTATATGACTGGGAGGTTCATGGAGCCATAATTCTTATTGCATTTCCAGCTAAGACGAAAAATGATTGATCAAGAAACCGGAGAAGCAGAAATAACCGATTTTATTCGGGTTACGGACATGGTTTGTCATATTTTTGAGGTTCTTCTAATCACCGACTGACACAGGTCCACACATACAAAGCTGCACGGAAGTACTCTTTTGGTGGCATACCCCAAACTGAATTTGGGTAAGTTTTCTCAAAGCTGCATGGAAATAAATCGAGATAGTTTCTGGTTGATACCGATACTGGTGACAATGACAACTTGATTAATTCCTTTCCAGAAAATATGCCGTTTGGATGTCGTTTACTACGATTCATCAGGTGCAGTCAATCGGGTGAAAACACGTCTGAGTTGAAAACTTCCAAACGGATTGGCTTTTAGCTTAATGGCGTGCCAGCCCTGTGATCCGTGAAATGTTGTATCAAGGCTAATCAGCATTTTAATTCCAGGAAGGTTTTCTAGCTTCGGCTACGACAATGGCAGGCACATCAGTTCTGTTACTGAAAATGTATATGACATATACGTAGGAAGTAAGATAACGTGTCCATGAATCATAGGTGCACCTAATTGCCAAACTGTGCTGCTTTTTTCAAGGTAATCCAGGCTTTTCATGCTAATGTTGAAGACATATTTTCTTATCTGCTCACCGTTACGACTGATTTTGAGATAAAGTCTTGGCGAAAGCATTAAACCAGCCCAGAGAGTTACCTGGAATAAGCCAGACAGATGTAGTATTTGACCCATGCAGTAGATGTTATTGCCATTGTCTTTCACGTCACTATCAGCATGTTCTGTAAAAATGAACTTCTTAGATCCTGATGAAACGATCGATCTTAAATGGGTTGACGAATTTGACAAGGACAGCTTTCATCATAAAAACAAGGTGAAAATTTGTTGAGATCGCCCAAGGACAGTGTGAAGAAATTCATTTTATTAAGTGCATAATTGTTTAATAAATTCCGTTAAATTGGTAAGGCTTCTTGTTGGGACTGTAACTGGATTTCTCCTGCTGTATTAGTCTTCTTCAGTTGGAGTAGCTATCCCCCATACCTTCTTACTACTTTTGCAAAATATAATATCAAAATGATCTTTCCTTAATCCTTTCAAGTGCAATACGAATCACACCTCCTAAGAAACCGACCCGGGCCGAAAACGTGTCACCATAATTCTGCTCATTAACACTCATTAGGTGGACCCTGCTGCCTATTCCTCTGTATTTTTCACTGTTACATTGCGTAAGCAGATACCATGCTGACTAAGACTGGCACGCAGTGTATTACGGCATGGGGCTTGCACGGATAGCAAGTTGATTTATTCATTTCACATTTGTTCCGATAAAAAATATATTCATTGGGAAAACATGCCGCTGAGATTCGCAGGCTGTTTATTACTAATCGTAGATGTCAGAATAAAAGAGAACGCCTGAGTAGTGTAAGACCTTTTATTTCCAACATCCTATATTGTTTACATACTCAAACGTTTCAGTATGGCCGTCGTCACTCCGGCTGATCCCCATGTGTACCTGTCCTCGGAACATCCGCTTTCATTGTCCGTTACAGAGGATGAAGAAGGGTCGATCACAATTGGAACGGGTGAGTTTCTCAATCAGCACCACCATATTGTTAAAAAATATTTGAAGTGTTGGTAGTTTGTGAGTGGTAGGCTAGAAAAAAAGAGAAAAAAACGTTTCGTGCACATTACAGCAGATTAAAACAAGCGCCCTATTAACTGGCACACGATAGAATGTAGAAAGTCAGTGGCATATATTTTATCTAGCTAGGGGCGTCAGCCGTCACAAAAGACATCTAAATTGAGTTGTTATATACAAATAGTGTGGGGGGCTTTTGTATCCGATGGTATTCCAAAGCAGCCGCTATGTTTTATCACCCCTAATTTGACAAGAATATCCCCTAATATCCGCTTGCATCGGGGAACAGGCTTTGGTCACCGCAATGTAGCGGTAATCTTTTTCTTGTTCTACGAGTAAAATAATGCTAGAGTAGTCAGACTGCTGTAGAGATGCTGTGACATAAGTAAAGATGAGTCTGTGAATATAAGCACAAGTTTCGGAGAGTAAAATTTCACTCATTATAGTAGGTTAAAAATAAGCAACAAATGAGGGGACACATAGGGTTACTCAAGTCGGTTATTTCCAACCGCTCCACTATAAGGGGGGATTAAACTTGGTACCAGCAAGGATAGAAAGGCTGCTAAATCGGTTGTTTTATGACCATTGTTGAAGGACAGCCGCTTCCATGTCATGGAACTTGAGGACAAAAATGGACGGCAAACACGCCATGGTACACCCTTTTACCCTAGAAAGACCAGCCTGCGGAATCGTGTGACCTACAGGAGCGTCGCGCAGCGTCTTCAGCATACTGCACCGTACGAGACAATCATAACGGAGTGCTCCTAAGGAACGAGAGGGCAAAAATAGCCCCACAAAAGTACACTATCTGGTATCGGAAGCTGGATTAGATCATCATCCTCGGTCTTCGGATCAATCAGCCACAATACGACAATTACGTACGATGTAGTAAAGTCACACGGATGAGGATTTTAACAGGGTTCATAAGGGCCAGAATTTTCATATTTCTTTATTGATCAGTGAAATAACTCACAGCTAAAATAATCGAATTTGGGTGTTTTTAGCAAAAGGTCTGTCGTCAAAACAAACCCAGTTATATTTCCTTAAGTGAAACAAGTATTTAGAAGTGCAAAATACAAACGTGGCTGCAAACGAGCACCTTGGGATCCATTCACCAAAGGTCACACAAACAGCCTTTCAGAAGTCTTGTTAGTTTCCCTAGAACGTCCTCAAGTGAGCCTTTGGATAAAGAATGATATGGTTTTTGTGAGATAGTATTCGCACATTCCTATGTTAGTGGACGTTATCCGAAATTTAGCTTTCAGTGCATGATTACACTGGGCGTCGGAAGAAGACAATGGGTTTTCTCGTAACCAAACTAAAGTATCCTCCGGAATAGGATAGATTAAGCTGATAAAATCATTTAGTTTTGTGCTGGTCATAAGTTTTGATTACTAGACGATCTCGCGACTTGAATTTTCACCTTCGAAATAGGTCATATATATATGTATATATACATATATATATGACCTATTTCGAAGGTGAAAATTCAAGTCGCGAGATCGTCTAGTAATCAAAACTTATGACCAGCACAAAACTAAATGATTTTATCAGCTTAATCTATCCTATTCCGGAGGATACTTTAGTTTGGTTACGAGAAAACCCATTGTCTTCTTCCGACGCCCAGTGTAATCATGCACTGAAAGCTAAATTTCGGATAACGTCCACTAACATAGGAATGTGCGAATACTATCTCACAAAAACCATATCATTCTTTATCCAAAGGCTCACTTGAGGACGTTCTAGGGAAACTAACAAGACTTTAAATACATTGGAAGAAGTCCACGCAAACTCTCCTTAACATAAAATAGTGACAGTCAGGTAATCGAGTTCCATTCGTGTCGTGCTGTAGAATGGGCAGAAAAAAGCTTCCGGATATTTTGCCACTCCAAAAGATGTCTGTGAATACTATGCGGGTTCTGAAATTCTTCATAAGAACAACTACGCATCATTTATTGCAAACCTTTCTGCTGCACCCAGTATTTGTGAAAATGCAACCGGAGTTGGTGTTTCTGCAGGTGGACATTCATTGTCATTCTTCACGGTGGTCTGCATTTTAGTGTCATAGTGTATTTCACCGTAGTTTAGTGTTTCTTTGCAGTACCTGTAAAGTTGTTTGGTGATATTTAAATCAAATGGTCTTGCCACATCATTAACCTGGAATGAAAGCAGCTTGTTAAACTGCCGAAGACTGCTAAATGTTTTTCATCTCCACGAAAAAGTTTGTAAGTTAACTGCTAGACAAAGATGGAATTATTTATGTGAAGATGCCTCGCATACAGTTACTACGCTTATGGCTCTATTTTGTCCTGTAGCAGTGCACAATCTGGTTGTTGATTTGACGTCTACCAAGCAAATTGGAATTCTTTCGAAGGTTCAGGCAACTCCAAATTGATAAGCGGTCTAGGAATACGTTGTGTGTTTGCTATTCAAGCTTTGAAAATGCACATCCAAGCACCATTGTTGTCAGCGGCCGATTACGATTGTTATGCATTTATGAACCATGATATCAGAATGCTTATTCAAATATCATAATGCATTGTATTGTCTTATTAGTTATACATCGTCCGCATCGGGAAAGTCGCCACACAAGCGAAGATTAACCATGTTGCTAGCAATAGTTGACAGCCAGGACAAAAATGTGTTTGAACCAGTGGCGCACACAACACACAGTGATCCAAGTGTCCTACAAGTATGGGAAGGATTGGACGAGGGCAACTTTCAGGCAAAACAGCTGAACTGACAACATTATTCAGTAGACAGTTGAGATCCGCCTGACTGTGTACAAGGCGACTAAAGTTTTGGAGGAACATCAGCTATACAGTGCTGGGAGTAATATGATGAGTGTGTGAAGTTGATTAACTGTTTATGTCATCACGTATCCCGTGAGCCATGATATGCGTACGAATTACCGGTATAATGTACTTTTGACAGCAAGTTGATTCACTTGACTGTTAAAACCCTGGTGATTGTGGTGCAGGAATCCATGTATTGCTTAGCGTTAGTAATAACTTACTGTGTACTGTCATACGCCGACTTGTAACCTATCAGTCCAGAGGCGTTGAAGGGACTGTTAATCTTAAAACAGCTGACCTTGATTTAAAGACTTTTCGGACAATAATCATTTGTGGATGAAATAACCCTTAATCAGTAGTGGAGACACTGTGGAGATCATTCCACTATCTGAGGGGTTTAACATCTTGATTAGTGGCAATACATATGCTATAACTTTGCGTTCATTTTTTAAACTGTTTTACCGACTGGTGCTACTGTCACGTTCTTCTGATCAGAAAAGTTGGAGCGCCTGCTTGGCGAAGCACGGGTATTCCTACCTTCGGAATTGGTCGAAAAAGACTGGCAAAACGAAGAGTATTTCAGTCACCATATGGGCGAAATGGCTCAGGAAGTTGATACAATTGCTTTGATGATGAACCTCAGAAACCCTACTGTAGAACCAACTCTTTCAAATGAATCGCTGAACGAAAACGAAACCGGCGCGGCGATGAATGTTACGGAAGCGTTCACCGAAGAGAAGGAAACGATGTTACAACAGGTGTTCAGGGTGTTATTCAAAAGGGACCTTGAAGAATTTTACCCAACGTTGGAACATTCAAAGGTAGAATGCCTGCTCAACGGTACTTTGGAATCCGGTGAAAACTGTCCAGCTTCAACAATTCCGACGAACAATTTGACTACTAATTCAGTCGAAGAAGTTGTAGAAGAAGAACCGTCAGTAGCAACACCAACACATTCGTCCATGGCGACGGACGATCTGACCAACGTTTCAGTTGCCGAAGATGAAACGCTGATAAACACTTCAACAGAAGCAACTATAGAGACAACGGAAGACGATTCAACTACAGAAGTATCAGAAAATATCCTGATCAGTTCCACCCCCGGTATTGATTTATCGACGAGCTCGGTGTTTGCGTCTGAAACATCAGCCGTGGAGGAAGTCAAAGATGAAAACATATTGATCAAAACCTTTCTGAAAAACGTCCGCAATCTGAAAGATTGTAAGCTTGCCACCCTCAAATTACAAGATATTGTATGAAACTAACAGAATAACTAATCAATTTACCTGAGGTTCGTTGGGATTCATTTGAATTTGAATGATTCACTTGCCGTTTGGCCGCAAAATATGCGATTATTTGATTTTTTTTCGATTAAACTTGTTTGCCCGATTGAACAAAATGCTACTTGAAATTGACGGTCAGGTCTGCCTTAACTGTGCATACGTGAAAGCCTCATAGATCTCTGCCAACAACGACCAATACCTGGAGCCAAAGTACAGCCGAAAGTAACTTCTCTTTGTACGAGCCATTTTTCGTCAAAAAGATTTTACATAAATAACATTTGCCAGATTTTGGCAAACACTAACTTCCCTACCCTCCATTTATAAGTAATCAACTCACCCTAGCCAAGCCCACGGGTATATATATATAATATATATATATATATTATATAAACATGCATATACGCATACGGACGCAACAAGTGCACAGGTTTTCTATTGATCTGTAGGTTTAGTATTGACACAGTTTGTCTTTAGGTCTTAACCTAAGACGGCTTCTGGTCTGTGGAGGATCGAAAGTAATAGCTGAGGGGCTAATGATATTTACCACGGTGTAAACTGGTGTTCTGCGGAAGACCAAGAGCATGTATAACAGTGCACCAATGTTCAGACTGATATTGTAATAGCAAATTTATTGAAACCGTAAGATACTATTAGAAAAGTGAGGCGCATCGAGGTGACACCATCCCGGCATTTTCCCTGTTCAATTTGTTGAGAACTTCAGTTTCAAAATGCAGGTACTAACCGAATAACGCTTCCAGAATACCTGGGATGCGAAGTAACCAACTTCGGATTTTAAAAGCCCGAAGATCGTGCTAGTTGCCGGTGGTATTTCTGACAAAACAACGACAATCTGAAGGATGGATGACATTCGTCTTGAAAGATTTCAGAAGAGTCTGTCTTATCATCTGTACTACAAACCTAGTTGGCTGGCTATTCACCAAAGCGCAAGACGCGGGGGGAAGCAGCGAACGTAACGGTTAGCAGCGACAGGTTGATTCATGAAGTTTAGGATATCAGGTGTGTTTTGTAGAAGCGAATCTGTCAATTCATACCCTAAGGTGTGATCTCCATTGGAGATGGGGCATGCATCGCGTAATCTTTAGAAGATCTAGACGAAGTAGATGAGCTTACGATGGTTTTAGCATTTTCACCAACTTTATGTGTGAAATTTGGTAGACACTACAGCCCGGAAGGAAAATATTCAACCGGGATGCTACGGAGTCAAAATGACAAACTTTATCTACAACACGTTAAAAAGAAAACCTCTCAAGAAATTACAACCTTCCATGAAGGTACGCGTATTCCTCAGTCCGTTTTTAGGTGACATGCTGGACAAATACACAATAAGGCATTTGAGGTTCATGCCGCTACGGCCTGTTCTGATCACCGAGCTGACGCCCATCTTGCGTGTGTATGAGGAAATGTGATATCACAGATGAACAGGCAAACAGATCGCACAAGAAACCTAGTCCTTACCCACTACTACGTACCACTACTCTCATGTATACTGCTTTATTTGAGCCAAGTCGGTAAACCTTGTAGACATAGCGGAGCACGAATTATGAGACTAATGGACCCTCATCAAAATGCGACATTATCCAACGAGGCTCTTTACCGATTAGAGTTAATAACGGTTTGGCATTTCCCTCCAAACTATTTTTGAACGTGCACATTCTCAAAAAAATGTTCTAGTTATTGGACGAAACATTTTCTACTTATCCCTCAGTCTATTAGGTGGGGGCACCGTATCCTGTGCGAGCTAATCGTATGCTATATTATATTTCGTCAGAACGACCGTAGAAGTGTTTCTACACAAGAAAACGCATGCCTGAAACAGAAAACCAACATTACACGCTAATCACGGGCTCAAATTTTAGAAAGTGTTCTATTTGAAGGCTACGAGATCTATCAAGGTAGCTCATGGGTTAAAGAAGATAAGTCTAGTTTTCCCTCATCCGTGATTTCTTAACCTGACGGCAGTCCATTTTTTGTACTCTCCTAATGTTTTGTGAAAAGAGAATGGTACATTTGAACCATCTATTTTTTGAGGCATATTACAGCAACTACCGACCACACAGATGTAGTTCCCCCAAATCTAAGTGTCCTTGAAAATTATTCTTATGAAATAGGCTCAGAACATCGATTGCTCGATTCGTTTGTTTCAACGAAAAATTTAACATGTTTGAAGACATGAATTAGAGTGTGATTAAAGTTAATAATGTGTTTTGTGTGAAACGTCTTACAGTGCATATGAAAAAATCCTGTTGTCTTTTTGTAAGCAGTAACTTCAGTAACCCCTCACCTTTTATCGCCCCCACCCAGTCACTCCGCCCCAAGTTTCACAGGTGCTGTTTGATCTCACGATGGCCGAACAGGATGTGTCGCAATTCACAGCAACTAAAAGTCTACCTAATTCAGCCATTCGATCGCGCACCATTGTGCTGAATTCAGGACTTGGTTGGACAATCCCGAAAAGGTTGGTTTAACTCGTACGGCTGTTCTGACATAGATGCTTCAGTCAACATGTTTCATCTAGAAACCAGTCAGTTAATACTGTTGAACAATAATAAGTGAAGTATCTACACCAGGGTTTTTGGTCCAGAAAGAGATAACGCGCGCCCTAAAACGCTATCGTTCTACGATATTGGTGCCGACTCATTCGCGGGCAGTGGTAGGTGTATCAGGTATATCGGGTTGAGAGTGATGATATGGTTGATGACTGCAGTACTTTAAGGGAAATTTTAACCAACCTTCACGTGATCATCCCGAAAATTCCTTCCGCACTGGTGGTATACAACATTAGGCAGATCTACCAAACCCAGAAGTGCACCCTTATTGCAACTGCATTTCAATCAGATGCTTATCTGGCAGTCTTGCCAAAATATGGACAGTGCAGCGAAACAAGCATACTTAAGAAGAATGTAGTACTCCACACGAACTTTAAAAGAAAAAGCATCGAAAAGCCAAAACAGAGCTACCCACTTTTCGGATAGTACCAGCTGACTGGCCTAAAGGTAAGTTCCCATTTAAACTTTGTCCATAAACATTACTCATTACTTCCGGTTTTTCGAAATGGTCGCGCAGTTCACAAGCTCGCTATCATTTAAGGTTTTGTCACGAGTCTATTTCTTTTAATTCAGCCCAGCAGAAGCTTTTGAAGATGAACTTACACAACACTCTATATCACCTATTCTACAAAGGGTTTATGACTCCAACAGGATGATATTCTGGATCCCCGTGAAGTTTGGAGGTGAGTTAAAGTTTGGTTAACCTTTGTTCTCTTCACAACCCTTAGTTGTGAAGAATTGTTTCAATAAACATCGGAACAAGACGCCAACCAACAGACTGGGTTTTCAAACATTATTTTATGTTCCGTCAGTATTAATCACCTTTAAGCTAATGAAATGTTTCCTAATCATTTCCTAATCATATTTTCCTAATCATATTCATGTTAGTTTTAACAAATTATTTGAACATCCGAGCGAAAGATCTAGGAGCTTCATACCAACTGTTTAAACAGATTTTTATGGGAAAATATGCGCCCAATCGTGTTATTACTAGTATCTTAGACTGACCGCCTTTTGAATGGTATACAGAGACCTTTAAAGTTTGTTTACATATCGACTTGGTTTGCCAGTTATTTTTCCCGTTGTTCAGATTTTATGAGGTTGGTAACCTGAGTTAGGGAATTGGGTGAGATTTTTTTCCTGGCTTTATTCGAAAGCCACATGAACTGGCCACCATAGAAAGTGCTAAGCAACATCTTTGGTTGCAGACAGTTTAACTTGCTATAAGGAGAGTTGTGCGGGGTAGCACAGAAATGTATGAATACACCGTGGCCCATCAGCACACTTGCGTTCTTGTGATGCAGCTCAACGGATGGACGAAATAATGCGGTGTAGATCCATTAAGTCAAAAAGCCTATAAATGTCTCATGACTCTGGGCAGAGGTGAGTCATCCCTTGCACATTCCTACAATGTTGACTTCGTACTTGATTTTTCAATGCCACCTAGCTAAAAAGCACTCAGTTTCAACAAAAAACGCGCCTTAGGGTTTAGTCTGGTAACCAAATGCTTATGTCACACGGTTTGGTTCACCGTTTTGTCACCTTCGCACCGATAGCCTTATCTCCAGTTCATCACCAGGTTTGCCGACCGACAAGATTTTGATTGACTGCAGCAAAACTATGGTTATTGTGCGGCCTGTTAAGGTTAAATTGTCTATCCTGATATTTCCTCAGGATTTTGCCGTTTTGTGAACGTCATCACTAAATTTGTTTCTATTTCTGCTGCCTCCGCTGCTGATACCTTGTCTTTCTACAGCCAATACTTGGAACAACTTTTTAAATCATCTGCGCACACAATAAAACTCTCCTCAAGTCACTTAATCCGTACCACAAGGAAATTTTATTCTCTGAAGGTCGTTGACAGATTCTTGATGAACTATTTGCGGACCAGTCATATCTTTTTTGTTGTATTGGGCTCATGAAGGTCCGAAAGAGATCGTGATATCAGGTGTCTACAATAGGATATAGCATCCTCCATCATATTATATTATGTAGCAGTTGTTTCTGGTTTTGGTCGTATGACTTCGAGAATTCTGACAGCGGTGCTGCTTGAAATTGCTAGCATTCGATGGCCGCGATCTGACAATCTTCGAGCGAGCTGCATTTCTCGAAGAACCATGCAGACTAGAATAGACTCATATTTAGAAGTTGTTGTATTGACTGGATTATAACAGACCATATGTTTGGTATTGCGATTCGGGCAGCCAACTATTGATTTATATTGCGTATGTCAGGATGCCTTCTCATTGATTACAGAAGGGTATCTTTGCTTAGTTCAGGTGTATTATCTTCCTAGAGCTATTGCTTTTTTCAATGAACATTTATCCGAACTCTATGATCTTCTGCAAGTTCACTTTGGAGTGTTTAGGAATTCCGGACAAAACTCGGCTCGTGTCGTGCCAAACTAGTTCAGTACCACGTGGTGAAAATACCGCAAATTGAAGGTCAAACTGCAGCGCGAAATATGTCGAATAATAATAATCCAATTTAATTGTTATCTATTGTAACACCGCACTACACTACGGTGAGTTTCAAATTTAGGCCTTTTATTTTACGTGCACCATAGCGCTCAGATGGTTTTATAGGAACCGAGTAGAGTTCGACCTGGAACTCCCAGGCCCAGTCAACCATCGGATAACACAGCCAAAAAACTATACTGGTTGCTTTGACTGTCATGTCTTCAGTCAGCGACGTCTGACCGAAAATGTCACTCCCTTGTCACTGCTGGTTAAATCAGTATACGACTCTCTGCCATCGACAAAGGCAGCTAATACAACATAGCGGATATTCTTGTTTCAATATCTATTCATACTCCTTCGTTACCCGATGAGGTCTATGGATAATTGCTTAGCGGATCCGTTGGCCGATGTCAGGGCTGCAATTATGAAAAGAGAGAGGAAATGCTAGAAAAGTAAAAACTTAGGAAGAAAAGTGAAGTTGACTCTAACAAAAAGTGTAGGCTGCCAGGGAGATCATGACCAATTGATCCTGCCTGAAATAATTGACTCACACAAGTTTGCCTGCAGTCTATCCAGCAGTGGCCTATCTTACAATGAGACGAAATTTTCGGAAAGATGTCTCAACTTCATCTTTAACGGGAAACCGCTAGCTCTCAGAGAAGGAATCCGGGATACAGAGCTCGTATTTCGAAAGCTTCCAGCAGAGAGATCAGAAGATATATTACCTGCCTGCAGCATTCTCAGAAGTCATCTACAAATCCGAAGCGATCTGCCGCGGAAGGCAATGGATTATAAAATTTACTGAGGAACGATCTACCGGTCCCCACCACCGAAGCGGACAAACGCAACGTAACTGTTGTCGTGAGCCGAAAGGAATATGAAGAGAAAGTGCTGGAGTGGGTCCTCAAGCGGAGATCGAAATGAAGATAGGAGGTCCAACTTTCAGCAAGATCAGACTTGGGGATAAACAAATAATCGGAACATCCAAAACCAAAACTCGGTCAAGTACGGTGGTATTTAATAGCGCCAACACTGAACAGACCCAGAAGTGGTCGAAAATACATAAAACAGACACTCACATACATCTCATCGTTTACCATGCTACCTGGACAACTTATCGAAATACGTAAGTAGTTTGGTGAATTCGTGCATCAGTGTATCAGTAAGTGGTAGATCATGTGGATGACCCCTTCGACTTGGTTAATGTTCACTAATCTAAGCCCATCAAAGATGATGAAGCAGCAGTCATATTTGACATAACATCTCTTTATTCTAGTCGACCAGTGAACGGCTGCTTAGCATCGCTTTCTTCTATTATGCGTGACGACAGTTCTCTAGCACAAAGAACAAACTTATCTCCTGCTGATATGGTGTTGAAAGTCGTCTAACCACCGCATATCCCACCTTTAAAGACATACTGTATGGACTGACTGAAGCTGTCGCTATGGCGTGCCCAGGGTCCCCCATATTGACCAATCTCTTCTTGACCATACTGCGTGCTTAACTTATCCACCACGCGCCAGCCTGAGGTACGTCGACGTCATTTTTGTGGTCACAGGAGCCGCACGACGAAAACCTTCTTAAAAACACTTTCCTGCACAGAAGGGCCAATCAAATAGATAGGACAGAGAGTCAGGTGCGAATCACTGCATGCGCGATTTCCTCCACGAAATCCGATTGAGTTTAAAAAGCTGAACGTGACTCAGCCAGTGCATTCCATGCAACTGGGCCAAGCCATCAAATCGTCTTCGATGGCACACGTATACTTAGTTCAAGATTCAAGTCGCGCGGAGCGGACTTGTGTTGAACTATTGACGCGCTCAAACAACCGAACTGCATCAACCATGGTGAAGAAACTGGCATCTCGTCTGGATCACTTGAACTTATATGCACCTTGGTAGACACTGGCCGGATGTTAAACAGGAACCTCACTGCAAATAAAACCACAACAAACAAGGGCCCATCAGCACACCCGGTCAGAGGGCCAACACAAACCCACACGAGTCGGTTGCATGTGATTGCCAACTTAGCTCATGAACACACCAATTACAATAAAAGATTGAGGACCCACATGATGCTACACAAGGTCCATATTCAAGTAATTGTGAAACTCCTTGGAAAAGGTTACCCACAAAAACCTAAACGTCGTATTGTGGCGTTTTATTCCACTACGCTCTACAGTGACTTTACTTCTTCCATGTTCGTCCTGAAGTGACTGGAGATGGGAAGGTTGCCCTATTCCCCGGAGCCCCGGACACCTACACGAATATCTCCGGGTAGTTAACAAGTACGGACAAAACCCAATCGACCGCATGTGGCAACGTTTGAAGAGAAAAGTGCTGAATCCCGATTGTCATAAACCATCCTTTTATTCAGTTGGCTAATTAGGAGCCATCTCACCGAACATGTCGTTAACACTCGTCTGCTTTGGGGTGTGTGGTTACAACATCTAAAAAGCTAACCAACTCTGGAAACCCCCATACACAGTGGGCCAGTTGACTTCCGTATACGATATGATGTCTCTTTGCAACAAGCTAGTGAGAATGCTGTATTCCAAATAGTCTTTATTGGTGACTAGTCAATTAAGTAGCATAAAAATCCGTTTCAAACTGAGCGGAACTCCCACCGGCTTAGCGGTCTCTGCTGAAGTGTTCGTGGAATGCACTTTTCGATCTTTGAATGCCGTATTCCGATTCGGTGTCAGATATGTTTTCCAGTTCTGCTGCCCCCTGGAAAACTGGACCTCAATGACCACGCACTAGTACGACTATTTCCTACATCTCCAGTTTTTCTGAGCTGCCGTAGGTTACCATATCATGATGCACTTTGGTGGCAAAAATCCCAAACGAATATTTTTTCAATTCGCTTTTTCCTTTGTGGATGCCTTCAGAAGTAGTATCATTATCAATGTAAGCCGATTTATATTCCACAAATTTCGACGTTCGCCTCTTGCGTCGTGGACCGTCTATGTGAACCCGGGTGTGGCAGCAAAACTTGGGGCTGCAAAATATCCTCATATACCATTTGCTACCATGAGTTCAAACGCATTGCTGGAGGCACTTCTGTGAGTTCACAGCATCACAACAAATAAAGCTTGCTGATCCTGCCAGCATTCTTTGACTTTCGAATATCACACACTTTAATCTGTAAGTAGTTGTCGATGTAGTGGAAGTAATCACATTTCAGCCCAGGATAGACGAGTGGTAAGTAAGAGCAATAAACCTTGATGTTGAATTCATGGGAACCTCTACCTTGTGGTTATCCCCGAAGTAACGAATTGCAGCAAAAAACCACACTTTTAGCTTCTCCAAATTGGAAGCAACAGTCTAACACAACAGTGTGATCTTCGATCTTAAATTCAGGTTACGAGAAAGAAATGCAATATTCTTTCGCATTGGTCTTATGACTGAAGTACCTTTGGGGCCGAAAGATAACTTATTTAACTTTCCAAAAAAATGATTCGCTCTTTTTTCAGTACCAAAAAGAAAGTTCTCCGAACCGGAAAACGTTACCGATGGAAACGCTACTGATCCCAGCTATCAGGAGGGCACTGATACTACCTTGATCGATACAAGTGATGACGAAAATGAAATTCGTTCAACTGAGCAAGTGAACCTTACGGAAATCCCCAGTCATCCTGCGCCCGTAACCGTCTTCAAGTCAATCGACCTTCCTTGGAGAGATGGTTTATTCAAGGCCGGAGGTTAGAATTTATTGTCCATATAGGATTTCATATCAGTTTTTATTCGAAATGTGGCCCATCCAGCTGCGATAAATGTTAACCGTAGATGTTGACAGTGTTTACAGATCTGAAACAGCTGCATTTCACCGATCAACTCAGTACAAGTATACCTAATCCCAGAGCTCTGGAAACAAAAATGGGTCAAAATTTCAAGCGTACTTCAGCAAATTTCGATTCAGGTACTGGTCATTTGGCTACACGTAGTTGCCCCGTAATTATCAACCCACCCTTGTTTTAAAAAAAGGAAGTCAGTTTGACTGCCTGTGAATATTTACATCGTTGCAGCACTAGCCATTTGGCTTTTGTTAAATGCTTTTCAGGCTATGGTTATCATATAGATAGATATGCTTTAAATTAGTGGGTACTAATGCACTAGTGAAATGTTTTGACTGATGAAATGCAAAGAAATACAGATAATGGAACAGGCGGGGAACCAAACGAGAGCCTCAGCAATTTTTGTGGACTGCAAAACTTTGGCGGCAAACTACGCTGTCTATCCTGGTTTTTAGACTATGCTCAACATATGACGTTATTCAAAATGATTACTTTCTGTTAATCCGTCCTGTGTCCGTTGCAGGTCATAAACACCAGTCAGCAGCCACATCGGACAGCGTAAAAAAGACGTCTCATAGGGTTTAGAAGCAAATTCCCATTTCTTACTGGTTATGCACGCGAATGATAGGGTAACGGCAACCAAAACGTACTAGTAAAGTACGGGCTCGATATAGCTCAGTGATTAAGGTGTCAGCTGAAAACCAGAAAGTTCTTGTTTCGAATTCAACCTCAGCATGCCGACTGTTTCTGTCCGGGCTTTGGCAACCTTGCAGTATCCTAGCCCTTTTGCATCCTTCCGCTGGCATGGTAGCTAGCCACTGAAAGGGTGCTACCGCTGGCCGATTTATTTTCATTTTTATATCCTAGCCGCATCCTCCCGCTGGCATGGTAGCTAGCCACTGAAAGGGTGCTACCGCTGGCCGATTTATTTTCATTTTTACTAGTATAGTACACAAATGCCATCACTAACTAAGGAGAGCAACCAAAATGTTCAACAACTCCGCCATCAGCTTAAATTGTGTCTCGTTTTCGGAGGTACTGCAATCACTGTTGATATTTATCACGAGCTTAAGATAAGCTGGGTTCCTTTCATTTGGAAAAATCTAATTTGTGTTAATTTATCAATGTGCACCTCATCCCAAAGTTTGTTCATCCTTATTCAATTTAGATTACTGTAGAATACAAACATTGTGTGTCTCACAACCAAAACCCGCAAATATCAAACGAATTGTCGAACTCTTATGAAATGATTGCGAGCCAACTTTAGTTATGCGCGTCAATGACACTAATTCACGCGTACTGAACAGTGTAAGCGGAACAGTGCAATGAACTACCGAGACTTTAGCCAGTTCACGTGGTAAAATTTATCATTTTCATATTAAACAATAACCAGTGCAACATTTGTCCTAATGTCTTCCGTGAAAGCTTGGAGTGTAAACATAGCAGTTTCATGGGTGTAAGTAACCGTTCTCCTAGAATGACCTAGATCACAATGGCTGATCAAAAGCGGGGATTGATACGAGTACTAACTATTTTGTAGCCTCACCACTGACCAATGGGCATTTTCGTCACGTCCGTATTAAATAAGTTCGAGACTTTCGGACACATCTGAATGTTTATTACCCTGGCGCAGAATGTAGGCTGTGCGTTTGCCATCGGAACACAAATTTACATCCTTTTTTCGAGGAAAAGTAGCGCGGTGTGACGCTGTCAGGTAGATAATTTTAGGCACGTATTGGCACTGCAAACACAATTAGCCATCCAGTCCTGCACTCAAATTGGTCGAAAGAATACAATTCACTTTCGACTTACTAATAAGGCTTAAACAGCTATTATCCATTTTTGTAATGTGAGGGTCAAGCGAATGGATGTTTTTCGTTCTGTCCCATATCACTTTGATTCCGTTTTGCAGTTATGGGACTAACTTTGCACCCGGAGTTTCTGCCACATCATATCCGGCAGCTAAGCCTTTGTTCGAAGGAATCGCACAACACCTGTTACCTGCTTGATGATGCTGGCTACATTGTTGCAGTTAATAACGAATCACTTAACTACCAGGTAAGCTTCCCTAAATGCATTATTGATCCCTTATTGATCTGAGGACTGACAAATCTAGTCAGGTATGGAAATTCTGAGAAATGCACCGTCATGAGGTCATTAGGTACCTTAAAGAAAATAGGAGTATTAGTATTCTATGTGGAAGTTCAACATTCCAATAACACAAATGAATTTAAAATTCCCATTTGTTTAACCAGTTCTTTTCTGACGGGAATAAGAGGCTCCATCATTTTCCGCGATATGGTTTCACCTTGATACATGAGCAAATATGTTTTTTCGTATTTTGTCTTGTTTTATTTCATTAGTTTGTTGGATGCCTGGATGGAAATCGCAGGGTTTCAGTGTGAAATCAGCAATATCTACTAACAAGCCAGGTTCAGCGAAACTTTGTAGACATGATAGTTTGTTTGGATATGGCAAGGTCAGGAGTAAATAATCGAAAATCAATCTACATCTCCTATTTCTTTGTGACATTAGATGAGGCAAACGGAACTGCAGTCAGTTTCATTTAGAAGAGGTACGTAGCAAGAATCATTAACATGAGGTTTTATTCATACTCCTGATGGTTTAGTTATGGTGCAATATGATGAAGCTTCTCAGATACCATCGTAAACTGTCTCATAGTGTGTAGTTACTAATGTGGAAGGAATGTCAATTAATCATATGACAAATATTTAGCCTCCCCTATGTTACAGTTCAACAGTTCTGACATCTGACTCAATAAAGGTCGAATACTACGGTTGCCTGTTTTCCCAATACACGGTATCTTTCTGAAGTGTTGCTTTCCTCAAGGGGTTTTCGCTCGAGGAACCATTGAAAAATTGAACGTACAGTGCGGCATTCATCGATCAGGCTGATACGGTAAACCTACTGATAGATAATGAACTAAAAATGATTGTGCTTGTACGCTAGAAACGAAAAGATACGAAACTACTATTGAAGTTCCCAATACAGAACTTTGAGTGACGAGTAGATTTGACGATCCCGAATATCAAAAGGAAGAATTGGGCACGACAGTATACGGTGCAATTTATACAAACGTTAGTTAGAGCATAAAACACACCTCAACTGTGCACGTTCGTATGTCAGTCAGTGTGCAAGTCTGTCACCGACCGGTACATTGAAGTGTCAACGTCCGCACACCGGGCAATGTCGAGCGGAATTTTGGCCTGATAGTGTTGGTTTTGGTCGTCCCTTCCGAGGCCACTCTCGTGATTCTGAGTGGCTGTGCGATTACTTGATGTCACGACAGAGCAAGTCAGGGAGAGACCAGCAGATGGGGCAAGAGCGCGCATGGGTAAGTAGGTCAGCGTAGCACGTTCGCACGTGTACACGCGCACTGAAATGCGTCTGTCTGATGGGGGCCACCTTTGCGGCACCGTGAATGGAGGGTATGGATGAGAAAAACAAGAGGTTATCATAAGTCCGTGGAAGGAGCGAGCAAATGAATTGGAGAATTATCATTATGTGAACCTGGATTGAATACCAAATGTCAGCAGTCCTCTCTTTGCATCGAAACGATGGCTTCGAAACTTCTATCATTGTCAAAATTTAAGCTGCATATGGATGCACCACCGGTCAAATGACTACAAGAAATAGTTTAGTTGAATTAGTTTCCCTAGTCCAACTACCGCACCCTCCACTGGTTGCTTGCCCAACTACCCCATCAATCCCATAAGCTGGTTACTAAGGTACGGTCACAAGAAACACGTACACTGGACGCTTGTCTCCACTAAACTGAAATGTTGTGCCCATCAACTTGATAAACATCGATATTCTCCTTTTAGGTTGGGCATTTCTTGGGAGCTGCAGACCCCCCGTTGATGCGAGCTCTGCTTGAGAACAACATATACGACAGGTAAGTTTCTAGAGCAATATTGATCCTAATCTCATAGGCTCTTGAAAAATGTGACTTGTTGGAAATTATACCAAGCTTTCAGAGTTGGAACGTAATGATATAAAACTCTTCTTCGGGTTTAATTTACCGTTACAGTGAAGCCATGGGAAAGAAAAGTCAGCTGGAGGCATCTGAGTTGCCTATCTGCGAATAATTTCCTATGTGCGATAATGTTTTGCTGTTCCCTGGCCTTATTTTTCTCACCTTACGATGTGCTGTAGGCAGACGCCGAAACAATAAGTCGTCCTAGTAACTGCTGACGGAATTAGACAGCCAAATGTTCCTTTCTTCATCTAAAAGTGAGAAGCATATTTTCTCAATCAAGTATCTTCAGTGCTTATTGCTGAAATTGCCACCTATTGGATGGCCGAGGAATTTAAAATGCAGTGACTCTTCCCGGTATTTTTAGCTTGGTATCGTCCAGATGTAGGAAAACTAGAATTCAATTGCTGATAGCAGCTGGAAGCACCTATCATCCATCGCTTACCTTCGTCGTGTCGAGTCAACTTACGTTGTACTAATAAGCCAGGGTGATTCAATCATCTGTTTGTACCTTAAGAATAATCGTCAGACTAGTGGTTTAAAATCGTCGACTTGCGTTTGAGCAGTGTTTGAACAGTGCTTGGGTTCACTGTAATTCGATTATCATCTCCGGCTCAAAATTTTGTACGCATATTTTTCCAATAGCATATTTTTCAACCATGAGTAACAAGTGATGTTTGCACTGGGAATAGTTCCCGATGGAACCATAACAAGATCGGTGCTGACAATTACAAAACTGACAACAATGTTACACTGCGGATGAGGGTCGTCTGTCTAAAGTACATTTCTTGCGTTATGAAATGTTCTTAGTAATTTTGGTTTACTTTGCAGCGTAATCGATTACAATTTTCAAGGACGGTGTGAGCCAATCGATTCAGAGGATGCCCCAGAGTCGGCAGGGGTTAGACTCAAATCAGTAAGAATAATTGTTTTAGATGCAGTTGTCTTACCCGCATTGATCTTTGACGTTTGTAGCTCATCAACATCAATTTTGAAGTCCACACTATTTCATTAAGGAAATGCAGACGGATACAACATGGTCCTTACAAACAAACTGAGTCTATATATCTGTCAGTGAGGTTACCCGAAACGCGTATTACCGTTTAGCGGAATTGTCAATAAGGAAAGGATTAGATTGTTTTTTCAATCCGATTGGCAGGATTGTGACTGACACAGTTCAGTCAATCGGTCTGTTTCATTGACAGCAAGAAGCTGAGAATAGCATTATGTCACCATTCAGTTTGCCATCGCTCAGGAAGTGGGACGGAGGATGATTGCCCTAAGAACTTGGAGTGCAGTGAAAACCCATCAGAAAAATTCACACGTTGTAGGAGAAAAACAGATTAAAATAAGATCAAGCTCAGGTGTGATCGTTATCTTGAGAGTACGTTAAAGACCATAAGAACTACTTTCAGTAATACTTACCCCAACCGATGAACTGAGACAGTCTCTGGAAAAACTAGCTTACCAACATAACATCCAATCAAGTTTGGATATTAGGTGACCCATGTTTTGGGGTTTGCACTTGCAGTTTATGAAGTTATTTCAGTAACGTTCGAAATTGTTTAACTGTTGAGGTTCCTGCTACTTGGGGTTACACGTAGATTCGACAATATCAAATATAAAAATGAAGAATTTGGTACGGAATTCTACGGTAATATTGACACAATAACAAGTAATTATATGCAGTAAAACGTAATTATTAATCTCAAATATAAAAATGAAGGATTTGGTACTGATTTCTACGGTAATATTGACACAAGAACGAGTAATTATATGCAGTAAAACGTAATTATTCATTTTCGTAGCGTCAAAGAATGCGTAAGCCTTCACTGACCTGATCGGCACATTGCAGTGTCAACGTCCGCATACCATACGGCGGTGAGCGAAATTTAGGCTAATACACAAGTGTCGGACGGGACGGTCTTTGTGGCAAGGTGAATGGGCGGATTAAGCAAATGAATGGGGGAATTATCGTGAAGTCAGGTTAAATTCAATAATAAGCTTTTTGCAAAAAAGCGTCCACGTGCATTTGCGAACGGCTTTGTGTGATTGGATGGGAAGTACGAATTCGGACGGTCGTCTTTGCTGACCAAGTTCATCAGTTATGCGATCAGCCCTCTCTAACAGCTTAATCTTAATCCTGATTAAGAACGAGCTGAATTTTGCACGAAAAAAAATCCCGTGTATCAACTATGTGGTGTCCAACCGGATTCTCTACTCCCAAAGGTCGTTATCATCTCGAACTTCTATTTTAGTCAGTCAGATCGGAATGCTTGTGAGGACACATTCCAAGTAGTTGTGTGCCATGTCTTAAGATTTTGTGTTTCAGTTACTTGATCAGTAAAGACGGGAAAGATACTTCTTCTCAACGAATTAGAAGCGATACCTACTGAGAAGAAACTCATTTTGCTGTCTACACTTGTTTTACAGGACTTCCCTTGACCAATCTCCCATATAATTTGGCATGACTGTGCTGTAGGTTTAAGTTTTCAAGCTGTTGAAGAACAAAGACATTGCCAAAAAGTTTACCACTAATTATTTGGTGGTCTGAAGAAAGCTTCTCTGGTATAATGATCGGAGTAAGGCACGACCCGATCAGTTATCGGACGAAAGGTGTGACTCGAGAGACTTAATGCTGCATTCAGTTACAGGGAGGTTGTACTGAACAAATGCGGAAGTAGCTTGACCATTTCTCTACCGATGCACCGACGATGGAGTCACTCGACCACTTGCGCAGGGTTCATAGCACACTTGCAGATTTGATCGAATTTGGTAGATGATTTGGAAACATATGTGTCTCCGATACATGTGAAGTCATTTTTGTTAGATCATTTAGGTAAAAGAGGCGTTTTACCTGACAACTTGACGATGGTTGGCGCGCACTTAGTTGTACTACTAAAACCAATTCATTTTAGAACATTTGGAGTATTCCAGCAATATCATTTGGGGTACCCAACCCATTTGGCTAGGCAGATATCGGAACCTGCGGATAGTACGTGGAAAATTTAGGCACTGTTGGAGATAGAGGTTAATGTTAATGGAAAATTCACACCGCATCTTGTTTCATCGGTTTTCTGGAATAGATTTCCAGTTAACTTTGTTGTCAACAAAGTGTGGTTCTACAGATGCATAATTGTTTCACTTGGGTGGCACTGGTAACAAAACACGCATGCTGCACAGCTTGTGCAGTGGAAAATGGCCGGCTCCGGCTGTAGATAATAATCCTTTGAGAAGTGCTTTGATTGCTCGAAAATCAAGGGAATATATCAGGCAAATGTAACGGTTGACAGATTGCCCAAGGCCCGACACCCTGAACAAGTATTTCACGCAAACGCACAGCTAGTTGAGCCCTTTTTCGTGTTACCAACTGGAGGGATTTATAGGCCTAGTTTTATCGGAGACGACATACAATTGCAGGCTAGTATTTGGCCTCAATGATAAGACTACATCTCAATTATGAATTCTCCCCATGATACGAAAAAAATCAATATATGGTTTGCCTCAACTCCGATTCCTGATTGAGTTACTAAGCCGCACCCAGACAGTCTAACTGAAATGTTCCCCGGTGTCTTTGAGATGCCTGTTGGGCAGTGTATGAAGGAAATAAGCTGATCCGCCAACTGGTGCGATGTTCACTGTGTTAAGCTACTCACAAATAAACAGTAATCAAGCTTATATTCTTTTGGATTTGTCGCCAATAACGCTGTTTTGGTGAAGGCTGCCTTGACAATGAGTATTTGTTCTTATTTTCCTTTCCCTGTGAACTTTCTGCTTAGTTTCTCTTACCCGGCAGAACACAGGCCTTGGCGGTCGCACTATTCAGCTACTGGTGGATTACGGATGACCTTCAGTTTGTTAAGTGGCCCCGGTGAGCTTCTGATTTCTAGACTTTTTCGTGGATATTCGTATGACTGTTCAGACGTGATTTATCAGCGTACCATTATCGAACGTAGTCTCCTCTTTGGCCATTCCAATTGGTGATTCATATGTGAGCGGCCAAGAAATGATGCAGTTTCCTGTAGGTTCATGTAGATTTAAAAACTGTTGAATGTTGGTACATCCACCTGTGTTAACATGAAATCGTAATACAGTCAGTCGTTATTGATGAAAGGGAGACGACCGTTAGATTGCAACTGTGATAAATGTAATAGCTGTCGCATTAGCGTTATGTGGTTCAAAACAAGTTTTATCACTGAAGAGACGGTGGTAGTCACGTGGTCTGTCGGCTACCAATATCGAAAATTTGCTTTCCCTAGAGGAACCATGGATCTTAAATTTCTCATGGATTCGGAGTAAACTACACATGATTTAGGGATCTTGAATGCAATGAACTATTGAACCTGCTACTAATTAAGTGAAATATCAGTGATCCAGGTCCATTTCTTGAGCGGAGTTTGTCCAAACAAATTGTACGTGTTTGATGGCCTGTGGTATCGAGATAATATGTGGTTCGCATAGCAGGAAGACACAGACCCTTGGGCCACAGTAGGAATGGCATTTTCGGTGACTTGATGGTACTAATAGACGTTACCTGTTAATACTTTGGACAAGGGACCGTAGAATCCTATGCGAAGCGTAATTGTACAAGTGTGAGATGGAGTAAGCCCCTTGGGTATTGAGATCCCTTCCAGTGCTGGTCATGGTCGTGGTTCAGCCACTCCCACGTGTGTCTCTTTGTTCACACTACATTTCCTATCCTGCGGAAAAAGACCCACCATTAACGAATTAATTAGTCCCAACATATTGAGTTATTAGTATTACGCAGAAGGACGAGGGTCCTTTTTGTATATTAGATGTATCTAACTGGATACAACACGGTCATTAACAGGGCTTTTATTGACAGAATGGATTGAAAACTGTATTATAACTCAACCAGAGAACCATAAAACAGAGCAAATTTGAACCAACCCTTACATGGCAGCCAAGATTTTTAACCAGGGTTACTTGATAGATCTTGCTATATCGACCCGAAGAGACCCTGCTGTGATTTTTACCTAAAGGAATATACGCACCTTAGCTTGCTGTGAGCATTGCTGATTACCTGGGCAAAATTCCTGCTTGCACCAGATGCAACCAACAATCTACCTTCGAATTTCACCGGTGAAACAACCCTCAGTCAATGCAAGCCTAAGGTTCCATCGCGCCTGGTTATTTCAATCTGGCTTATATTTTCTAGTTTCCTGTTCTTCTTTGTTCCAGTGCATTCGCAACGGCTATTTTACTCCCATTTGGTGAGTTTCAATTAGTAAGCAATTAAGGGTAATGCATATTATTCTCCGATGAAGGAAAAACATTATAGGTCATCTGAACTGGGTCGGATGCTACATTAAACGCTCATATATCATTAACGGCATCTCTTTCATTAGGTGCTATTACTGGCGATGTCAACTTGATTTACACAGCAGATGAGCTCTAATAAGAGCGAAACTCCGGTCTGGTGCTTCCTCTCTTTGGTGTGCGTTTATCATAATGGTTCCACTGAGTGGCATGATTTTGAGCTTTATTTTTATCCATTTTGAATGCCACCAAAAATGGTTGGAGGGTTACAGTAACACTTCAGCATAACAGTACCTTTCAAATGGGTATCCTGCGAAGAGGCCACCTCATTTTTCAATTTCACTGATATTCAAGACATCGTAGTGTGTGCTACAATGAGACTCAGGTGAAATCCAGCTGGCAACAGCAAAGTAATCTACAAATCAGTGTTTTCCAACACCTCGCATGCAATTTGGTGTTTCAATAGGCAATAAGGTTACAGGTTTTCGATGAATAGGCCCACGTAGTGAACTACAGGAATGGCAAAACTTGTAGCGATATGGTGAGAGTTTCCATCTACTTTATGGGTGGCATTGAAACATGCTTGAGAGGTTCATTATTTACTTGTTGACCGTCTTTCAAAGGCACCGAATGACTAAGACTTAATTAAAAGTTTTTTTGGTGATATTCACTTATGTCTCTACACACGTTTCCATCGTCACTAGCGGCTCCGATGTATACGAATGAGCGCTTGTTATCGAGTCAGTTTGGCGGCATTCTGAAGACATAAGTGCAGATAATTCAAATTTTTGTGACATTGAGTCTGTAGTTGGGCCCTTTGAAGTGCAAGTCACGGAGAGAAAACGTGAACTGACATACTAGTGATCATATATTTCCTCGGATTTTTTTGGGCGCGGATCAGTGTCTGGTTTTTATTTGTTCCAGTTATCTCTGCGACCTACAGCAAGCCACCCTGCATTTGTAAAGGTGCGCTAGACCGTTCTGCTTCTAAACAATGAAATGTTTTGAACTTGTATTACCATTCGAGGTGGATTTAATTGTAACTTAATGGCCAGTCATGGAGTTTGTTCAGATAGGCAGTTTTACCTGGTGGTTTGGAGTTTTGTCCTTTAGACATAAATTCTTCCCATATTTGATAACTGTTGCTTCCTTAACATTGCAGGAGTTAGCCCATTGCAACCTATTCATAAGCACGTGATAATTAAGCGAGTAGCAGATGACCGAACGGAAGAACCAGTGTGAAAATAAATCCCTATAAAGTTAATGGGGGTGCCGGATACTACTAAGTATTGCCTGCCACCCTAAAAAAAGGAAAAGATTTTGTCGTAGAAATTCAAATTTAAAAAGACCGTGGTCACATCGGTTGATGTGTTACTGATCTGGATGTAACGTACTTAGGTTGATTACCACAAGGTGACAAGCACTAACAAATGTCTGTTTAACCAGATTTATGGTGATTACAGAAGGTATATGCACTTTATAAAAATAAAAACAATGCAAGGAGGAAACAAGCCAAAAAGTGACATCGTTTGAGAATAACGGTTAACAGTTCCTGAGTGAAGTTCTGCAGTAAAGCTGCTACACGTGCTCCGAGGTTGTCCGTGGAGACTTGTGGAACTCGGTCGACTTCCTGTCCTGTGGTTGCAAGTGCGTGCTTGGGCCGAGTTGCATGCCTATTGATTGTGTGTGGTGTGATGAGAGGGGTGTTTATTCGTGTTTGCTCATTCCACGAACATGAATACAACTTGACCTCATGTGTTTGAAGTTCGTAAGCCTTGCGTGTGACGCAGCTGGTAGCCACGTGTACATGTTGTCGGCTAAGGTCGCAAGTGGGACAGGAATGGCTACGTGCCTTGGGTGTTCGTAACGCGTGATCTAATGAGTGACCACTATAGATGTGAGATTTTCACTTCTTCCCGACTGGCCTTAGTCCATTGAGTTGATAGCAAAACAGATCTCAACTTGAGGTTGAGATGCATTTATTGCACTGTTTATTGCAGGCCTAGACGCGTGCTTCCTGACTGGAACTGATTCGGTGACTAATCATACGTTCGTCGCAAGCCGCTGAGCGTTGCGTTCATAGCTGTTTCCATTACAACCATTTTAGATTGTATTCTAGTTTTTTATCGCAGTTAACTTTTGGATAAGTTTTTCGTCGTTTTTAATTTGTTTCAGGCGAAGTAGCCGCAACGCAACTTGAGCCGTCCAACTGTATTCAGCAAATTCATCGTTACTTTGTGCCAAACCAAAAGAATCCTGACATATTCGAGAATATAACAGATTCTTCATCCAGTTGGACTAGAACAACCGGCGGGATCATCAATTGTTCTATCGATTGCGTGCGCGATTGGAAAGTGGTGGATATAGAAGGCACTAACATGAAACTAATCATTGTTAGCCAAGCCTGTTCAGGAAATTGCAGTCACTTAGATGAACGAGTCCCCAGTGGTCCGGTTGAGAGTAAGTAATTTTTCAGAGATTTGTAGTTGCGGAAGGCGTTGCAAAGCCATAGAAAAGCATTATTGAGTGCGGTAATGTTAGGCCCAACGCTTCAGACATCGTTGAGCGCAGTGGCAGTATACTCAGTTACGCCATTTCTTACTTAATTTACCTCGTACTCAAAAGACTTAAAGGAATTTTGGGTTCACAGTTTTCACCCAGTTAACGCTAAGCACTACCCATCTTGTCGGACGCATGACATTTGGTGTGTTCGTTCATGTCCAGTTTGAGAATACAAGATTACTCGTTATTTCGCGCATTACTAAAAAGTGAGCTGGTTATAACAGTGTAACTTACCCGCCATGCCAAATTACCGTTTCAGCGTTAATTATCTGTAGGCTGCTTCAACGTGGATCATCAGTAGACCCGATCTCCAAACGTGTTGATCGGTGTTTAATCAAATTCCGTTTACCTTGGTGGCTTCACTGAAGTAACACCATGCTCAAAATGCACCTAACACGGAACTAACAAGCACCCTACCACCGCTAGTCGAAATAGCTTCACTACATGTGGATTTCTGTGTACATCAAACTTTTTCACTTGGTCTTAAGTAGTATAGGTTTTTCACCAAACTTATGACGGCCCTGTAATGCAGGACAGGCCCAACCTACATACGTTTAGTGTCGTCAAAGAATTTAGAGGAAATTAGAAAACTTGATTACCCTAAGATCTTAATCGGTGAGAACTATTCAGATTCCGTTCAGCCGCTTATGGCCGAACGGATAATCACAAGCTAAAAGATCGCGGATTCAGAACTGTCCTGAGGTCCGCCCTGCAGTGAATATCAAACAGCCGTACTGTGCGTCTCGGCTATCCAGCATACATTAACAGTCCAATTCGGGTTCAGGTAGATCATAAAGTTGACCGAAACTTGGGGACTGCGCCTACCTGATGAGCCCCAAGAAGGGTGAAACCAGTCGTGGGCTGTCGAAGAGTTTTCACCAACCTTGTGAATAGTTTCCTTTATGAAGAGTAAATCTCAGTTGTAATCATACCAGTTTGATTAGCTAACTTTCAACAAACAGTCTGAACTCTGTATGAAGTGTTGAAAAGTGAAACACCATTCCACAAGATTCAGGTGCAATTTACACGCCTGCAAATCTGGGATGTACGGGATACAAAGGAATGATTCATTGAAAATATAAAGTTAAGCCACCCGGCCTTTTAAATGCACTTTTAATTTAGATGGGAATGGTGTGGTTAGTGACAATGAAGCAGTTACTGTTCCGTTCAGAAATGTTCTCACCCATAAGCTTAAGGCACAAACAGTGCCATTGTGAATGGTTGGCTAGTGTTTGCACGTGCAGCGTAGAGACATTTGTTGCATCTGTCACACCTGGAAAGTCCCTTTGGGGGGGGGTAGAAAAATGTCCATTTTGAGCAATGTGGCGCACTGCCGGCAGCGGGCATTTGAAGTTAAAAATCTGAGGTTTAACGTTGGGTGCTACCAGCAAAAGAAAGATGGCCGTTACTGCAGTTATTGAAAAACACCGACCGAAAATTTACAGACTAATGGACAAAGAAGCATAACTCTCATATGCATCCCGTCTATAAAAACTGCGCACCGTCTTTTTCTCGAATGCGTCTTCCTGAACTGTCCCGGATACTCATTGACTATCACTCAAACGTAAACGAATGCGGCAAAGCGATTCCACAAATTCTGTAATACTTCACACTTTTCAGAAGACGCGAAGCAGATTTATGAGAAAACCACATACTACTCGCATGATTCACCAGTTGTATCCACCGTTACACCAGTTATCCTATTCTTCTTCCAGGTGATGGGCCAGACGTCTGTCAAGAGGTGAAGAATCCACGTTATCGAAAATCAACTGGTCCATGTCCTCTGACAGATTTGGTATACACCAATCTCGAATGTGGCACATGTCGCGTGCGGTGCTCTGTTCTTCTTCTTATATTATCCCTTTTATTCATTTATTTTTCTCCGGATTGAACCTTTCGCACCACGATCCATGTACATCTTCCTTAGCTCGCCGCCCAATTTCCCGTCAAAAGATTCAAAAAACATTTGTGATATTTGTAGGCTCCCGCTTCTTCACATGTACTAATGTGATCAAGATTAAACCCAAATAACCGTGAACAAACTTGAGTTGGTAAAACAAAATATAGATGTGTCTGAAAACAAGCAGGCACAAATGTGCAAACATAAAAACTCATCATGGATATGAAATTACCGTTTCGTCTTCTCAAGTTCATCAAATTTGCAGTAGTCCAACTGATATTTTGGGTAACTTCCTGAGGATAATTCACTGGACAGTTTCTAGCGAATAAGGATGGTTTCAATTCCTTGGCTTTTAGCCTCATTTCGGAGAGAGTGGCATCTGATTGTTCTAAGTAAACTAGAATCTAAATAAACTGGAGCGACTTCTGATAAATCTAAGTGAAATTCTTCACCTATTGGTAAAATCGAATTTTCCTCCCTTCGAAAAATATTTTCCGGGATTTTCGCAAGGTTTTTGGTTCAAATTAATTTCAACTCATTCTACTAATTACAATTATTAAATAATTTGGATAGCTTTTCCTAAGCATATCATTCATGCCCTGCAGTAACCGACAAAATTAGCCCTAGTTTCTGCATAACGCGCCTTGGTTAGACAGCGGTCAAAACTGTGATGTGTTTGAAGGTCTTCAATCTCTGTGCCGGAACTTATTTTGATCTAGAGACTACAGTTCATTCATTCTAATAAAGCCAACTAAAAAAGTGATTGTCATAGCTAGATGGATTTTTGTGCTTTGAAGCTCAGTGGCAAGTTTTCAGATCGTGGTTATATAGTGAATCGAAGATGGTCAATGAATTTTTCATAAATTTACCTTGCTTGCGGGTCACTCGGATTTAATTCTATGCCAGTTACACCGGGGTAATCAGAATAGGGTGGTAATTTCATTCAGTCATACTCGCACAATCTCTGCCGTTCTCACAGAGTGGAACCAAACGGTACGTTTGTAAGCAGCACAACACCAGTTTGTCCTTGTGAGCTGATGTGATAGCAACAGAGATCACGTGATTGAGGCAGTCACTTGACGGCTACTGATTTTATTGATATGTTAGATGCAAACACCACTGAGTAGTTAAGTACCGGTATGTAATATTGATGGTGCTGGTGATCAGTGGACACACAGAATAAACAGGCGCAATTGTTCAATTTAAATAATGCACATATTTATTTGAAATAGGGTAGAAAAATGAAATGTGAAACAGAGGCGACTAAAACCAAACAAGACATGCTTCAGCGATTCCAAAAAAAGAATCAAATGGCGAATAGTCTCGAGTGGGTGTAGCACCGCATATCGAATTCGATAATCAGTCGCCTACTTCCTTCTTATAAGACTTCTTTCGGGATGGCCAGATTGTCTAGTTCAGCGTGCACTTCATAGATACTTGAGAACGAGTGAATATAGAAGTCCTGCGTTCGATCATTCAAACAGCGTTTACAGCACCCTCATTCAAACGACTGTCTATGGCTTCCAGACAAACCAGATGTTTTGATTGACCTGAACGCCTACCCGTATCCTAGTCTTATGTGGGACAGTAGAGATGCAATGCTGTTTCCCGAGAAAATAACGTCACCCAATCTTGGCCTATTGCTCTTTTGATCTTTGTCTTAGCTAGCTGATTACACAAGGCACTCTTCTGAAGGATGGAAGGTGGTGGACTGTCTACAGATGCTCGGGGATGAGAGGCAACCTAGGTGTCATCCTGAGCTGAAACAGTCATGTATTGGGTATGAACCGCTGTTTTTCCGGTCGAAATGTAGAGAATCAATACAAGAAGTCTAAAGGGATGGACACTGTCAAGGTGTGCAGCTGAACCTGACCCAACACTTTTCGAAAAAACTGTCGAAAAGCCCGACGGGGAACCCTCGGTTATCTTTGGAATTTCCATGAGACGGGTCAGAAAGTTACCATGTGTTTTCAAGGCTTGCTAAATACGTCTGGATATCTTGTCAGCATTATCTGTCAGACATTTCATCTGGGATTAAATACTCCGTACTCAAACCTTATGTTGGCCTTCATCATTAGCTCACACTTCATATCACGTGGACAGCCAAGACAGTTTTGGTGCTTCACGTGTTTTTGTTGTGAGCTAACTAGATCAGGCTCTAATGTCCTCCAAATTAACCCGAAAATTCCATTTGTACTATGTTCGGGCAAAACGTTTTTGCAAACATGCATCAGTTAACATGAAGCAATGGTCCTATGGTAGTGACCATTGTGTCGTTCATTTGCTGAATAACCGATGTGCGGATAAAACATTCAGGAATTCGGCAGACCAAAATATCAGGGGATTCAGCAGCTCTTACCTAGATGTATCACCATCTTTGAAGTGATCGTTTTGTTCGCCTTCCACAGGACAGTTTTAATGATACATCTGGAGTACATCGTGTGCGTACATTTCAGTCGAATTGGAGGTACAATACGAATTTTCTTCGCGGACCACGAAACAGTTTACGCCTGACTATGCAACTCAGATTGATGTGCACAGTAAAAATTTTATTCAAATTAAGCCTGTGCGGAGACGTCCAATTTTGCTTTGTTGGAATTTTTTCAATGATACAATTTAACCCATGCATGTCATATCACAGGGTGGGGGTAAATTCCAACTATGGAGTAGCTTACTTACGATTTACCTGGAAATTTCATTTCCACTCCATATATTCCCGTAAGGATGACTGCACGGAAGTGCGAAAGTACTCATTTTCACCAAATGGTCAGCATCGTGACTTCCGAAATAATTTAGACATGGGAGTGGCTCAACTATTTGTAACAAGTATGTATCTTCTAAAATAAGAATCACAAAATGGGCAATATCACGCTTTTGAGAGTCAGATAAGTATAATTAAGCCAGGTAATAAAACCGAATCAGCAAGATCGGTTATCTTATACTCTATCCAATATCTCGAAGGCTTTAGGAGAAAATCTGCTTGGGAGGAAAAGGGTTGCTGTAAGTGTTTACATGCCTATTGGCAGGTCCGTCATCCAATGAATCTAGAGACCGCCTGTAGTGGAAAAGACCGACTGCTGCAAACTTTATTAACTTGGAGAACAGCAAGACAGTGAACTCAGCTCAAGCTCAAAATACAGCTCATACGCGAAGGATAACAATCAGTAGAACCTACTCACAATGTTGCTGAAAACTCTTCGAACTGCGATATCTCGAATATCGTGCCAACTGAAACAGGAGGTGGCCTTTGTGCAGCACATTCAGTTGTAGAATGTCATAAACGAGAGATCTAGTTGGGTTTCTGGTGAAAACCAGATTTATTTGCAAATGAGTGTATTTCTCGAAATCAGAAGAACCATTTATTATTCCGATTTGTGGGTAAATGGATGCAGTATCGAGTTCCTGAGTGATCCACACTTGCTGACGCTCCGACAGTTAACCTTCAAGTGATTCACTGCACTGTTCGCCATCAAATGATATCACTGACGGTAATTTGACTGCCATGAATTAGGTGTGGATAAACTAACCTGTCGAGATTTGGCAGCCCCATATCCCACACCGTTGTCAGAAATGTTGTCAAGTGAAAAGCCGAAAAGACCGAGTACGTGCTTTATTTTTGGAACGCTTCTTGCTTGGAACGGCTAGATGAATGAATTCACGTAGCCTTTTACAACAATCCTCGGTGCTCCTGGAATCTTTGCTCCGTGTTTTTCGAGGTTTCAACCTTTAGTTTCTGTTTCGAATTATAAATATTTTTTCTGCAGCATCAAAGTCTATAATGGAGAAATAAATTGTGATAGGTATTTTACGCCTGTCCTTTACACGACCGACATATTCTGAGTTCCCACCTGTGTAAAATGTCAGCAGATAACGGTTTCAATAATGTATCGGAGATATCCAGTGTGGCGATTTAACCTACCATGATAGATAACGTCGAAAGCTGGTTGAAGTGATTCGTTAAGTGAATGTTCCCGATGCTTTTATGTGCGATTTTTCCTACACCGACTGTTAAGTTGCACACAGCACGCCGTTTTCCAACAGATCGGTAAGTCTGTTGAATTCAGGCTGGTCAGGCAATCAAGAAAATGACCATAATACCAATAATGTTGGAATCCGTTTGGTCGTTTAGAGTTTATTTGAGTGTTCAATTCTACAGAGTTTATGAAATATCCAAAGAACCATTCGCGTATTTGCTAGAAAGAAATAATGGTTGTCAAAAACATGCGCGGGGAAGTCACTGCCTCCTGAAATCTATCAAGGCGTCAGTAATCCAGTGCGCAGTAGGCTGGGAAACTGAGAATGACTGCTAAACAAAGAGGTGAATGCTCACACTACTGAAACGAATAATGCACACAGTTATGCGGAAGGTACGCCGTTCTCAAAGCAAATGTGACAACAACATTTTTCAGCTGTATATGTAATTAAAGTCAGCGATCTGTACTTTTTAGAGCGCTATTCTTATTGCAAAATAAGAAGTCTGTTTGTAGGAGAGCACCAGACACTTTGAGGAAACTCGTGGCTTCGCTTTTGTACTTTTCGTCCAATGAAAGTCACGGGTAGTTCTGACTTCATCAGAACCCGGAAGTGATTACCCCGTGATGGTGTACTTTTCATATGAAATAAATACTGAGTCTATCTCCAAATTCTAGTCAATCTTACGAATCATGTGCAAGAAGAAACAAGCAAAACCGGAGAAGTCTCAGTCAAAACTGTCGAAGAAAGAGAGGAAGAAGGCAGAGAAATTGGAAAAGAAACGTTTGGAGTTAGAAGCGCAAGAAGCACTGTCAGCGGAACTGAATGAGCAAAACAAATCCGATCATAAGAAGGGAAAGAAAGGAGATCAGCGGAAGAACCAAACAGTCGTGATCAAAAGAAAAAACAGAAAAGCAAAAAGGACGGGCAAATCTAAGAAGCAGTTTGTATTAGATGCAGAAGCATTAAAAAAGAGGGAACATGACTTTATTCTTGATTGTATTGCCGTAGCACAAATTTCAAAGGATGGAGCGCTACGAAGCCCAAAGATTGATAGCGTCATACCTACGTACGATGCCCTACGAGACCCATTTTCGGCCAGATATTTCCAGCAGCCAACTGTGAAAAAATTCATGGAAAAAATGAACTTGGTATGTTTTCTTGTTTTGATGTATCCTTGTAAAAGTGTTATCTCAGCCTCCATTGTTTTTTTCTGGCTTAACTCCCTTACGAAATATTGAACTTTGGTTGCGCTCACTTGATCGGAAGTGTTGTGGCAATCTGTGGATACGTTTTGAGTGGGAATAATCTTCTTTACTGAGATGAGTTTTGCGCCAAAATGTATTGAATATCTGCTTCTTATTTGTTGCAGTCTAAGTGTTAATTTCATTTCCCGGGAACTGATCTCAGGTTACACTAAGGGTTACACTAATGCGTCACGGCCCTTTTATTAGTCCACATTGCAACATGTGCCTCATGCTTTACGCGCAGTTATAAGTTTTGCTAGAAACTGTGGGGCTCTTGTGGTCCATGTTGGTATTCTTCTTGTTGAAGCCTTAGAAAGTGCCTGGATAAAAACATCGAATGTCATTCTGAGGATCACATCAATAAAATTCACGTGAATGTCACATTCATTGATGACATATTCGAATTAGTCCTACAAACGACGTACACGGGGAAGATGTGATTTCCTGGTTAGAGGCGGTAGACCACCATACCGTTCGTCAACTATGGGCTGATTGGCCGTGTGCATCTCTGGCCCAGTGAAAGGATGACGATTCTGATCCTTCCAAAACACATTGCCATTTGCCTAATATGTAGAAACCAAGAAGTTTGTTGAAGGAATTTTCGTCACTTGGGTAGCACTGTTCTCAGACTAAGTGCGATCCATTGTAGAAAGAGAAAAACTAACGATAAACTTGGTAAACAGAGAAGGGGCACACTGCCAAACGAGTAAATTCACTAGGGGCCCATAAAGCTGGTCATGTATTGGCACTGCAAATTAGTTGTAAACGTTTGTCAGAGAGCTGCGTAAACTCTGGGTTAATAATCCTTGACAAATATTTCAGAGTAAGGTAGTAGGATAAAATATCCTCCATGCTAGGTGTTGTTTGAACGTAATCAGTCAAAATAAGGTCAGCATTCAATGTTTTCTCTTGCTTCGGCCAGTTCGATTTCTTGTTAGTAAACACGTAATTTACAGAAGCGAGTCACATAATATGCAAGGCAAAACCTGTGAGCTATTGACACCAAAAAAGCAATTAGATGGTAAATAAGGCGTGTGCAAATATGAGCCTAGTGTTTCGTTCACCTATGAGCTATTTTCAGGGATTTATGAGCCATTCAACAGACGTCCCGACAGGAGTACAAATAACTTAAGTAAAAGCTCTAAATACAAACGTAAGCACCGCTGTAAACTCCTCAGATAATGGGAATGCAAATAACAACAGCGTAATAAATTGAAAGTCGATCTCATTTTTCAAGCGGTACTGTTACGAAAATGGATACGTATCACCAAAATCCATATGACTGGCAGATAAACAGGACACTGTATCAAACATTACATATCCAAATTATTCCAGGATCAAAAATCAGTGTTTATGTGCAAAAATCACAAGATCTTGTGTTGACAAATCCTTGTAGGGATAAACCTCAGCTTTCTGACCCTGCTTCAAGTATTTCCGCAAAATATATAACCATAATGAGCTGCAGAACTGCTCACTGATGCTGTCTCTTTGACTGAAGACGAAAAGTTTGCAGACTAACAACCAGACGCAGAGATGAGCTGACACCAGATGAACAGGTCGACCACGGTAAACGCAGCCAAACTACTGATGTTTTGACACATTCCCAGAGAGCTCCGTTGTTTCATTTTTATACTGCGTTACCTATATAATCAAACACTTTACTGGACGTTAAACCATGCGTTTTTTCTTCTGCTAAAGATCACCATGTACAGGTGTTCCTAGAATTATCTTGATCTTGTTCTGAGGTAAGATTCCGCTGAGCGCTTTGTGAACACAAACTTAAAATGCAGAGAAGAGTATAATTGCAACCAGAAAAATCTGCCAACAAAGTGCTGTAAGAAAGTATGCTGAATGGTAATTTTTTATCGCGGTATAACAGTTGGAATGACTATGCGTAAAATACTTTGAATAAAAATGTTATTTCAACCATGCGTAGTTCGTAGAAAGTGCAGCGAAGCATATTAAGTTGTGAGTGCCAGAGATGGCCGAATTGTGCAAAGGCAAGGGATTTAGCCAAAAACCCCTACAAAAAATATGGTGCGCATAGGATAGTAAATAGGAACAAATTAAGATGAAATAGAAAATAACCTTTCAGTGGCAGATTTACGAAATTGCGTCAGGTCAAAACAGTGAAATAGACGTGGATTAAGCTACTTAACTGGCGTTAGTAGTAGGTCACCAAGCTGAAACAATTCAGCATTCCTTAAACTCACGACAACGGGTTCCCTGTTGTGCACTGCCTAATAACGTACTAGAGTCATTGTGATGCAGCTGTAGACGGCCAATGAAGATACGACATATCCATTTGCGGTTACAGGTAATATTTTTCTGTAAATGTAAAGGTGTTATTCATCGACACACCTCAACAAAGGAATTTTGATTAAATCGAACTAACTAGATTGGGTGAAAGCGTTTTGGTCCTATCTGAGGAGTACCATCCCCACATGGAGTGAAGATGCACCGTCGTTTAAAAAAATGGCAGCGTACGTTGATATAAAAAATGTACATGTTACAAATGCTTAGTGATATAATTCCAAAGTCAATATAATTGATTTTGTATCTTTCTGTACACCATCGGGTTTGACGCCGAAATCTCTCTCTCAAAGAATCAGGGTGCATGATTGTCTAGTAAGCTAATAACATATTAAAAGATGCTTACACAGCTAACAGGTCCTAAATTTTATAAGCCATCGAGATCTTCACCATGATTTTCTTAATTTTTGCAAACGGAGATTTCATGTGCACTGATAAACACACATATCAGCTGGTGCAGCACACTAATATGCTCTTTACTTGTGCAGGACTGTAGCTGAAAATTTCAAACCAATCAAAACAGGTGTAGCTTTGTTGCATTGCCTGGAAGTTAATTCCCGCAGCACACAAATTTATTCACCAAAATGTGCTTGCGACTCGCTCTAATAAGTCCTTAGGAATGCCAATGGAATCTTGGGCAATAACCATAATTTATTCTGGGTTCATACACTGTCTGCCACTAGGATACGAAGGCAGCAATCGTCTCTCAAAACATGGGATATATTACCCTATTTACATTTACACGAAAGAATCGTAGTCCAAGTCATCTTGTATGCAAAAAGCTTATCGGTGGTTTTATTATACTGTGCGCTAGGGCCATGTTTCGTGCGACCCATGAATTAAAAATTCCCATTGCGCAGAATGCCAGTGAAACAAAGCTGACTAGACACTCACCTTTGACTGGCCTTATTTCACATGTGTAGCAAAGGTACGCACTAATACTGGCCAACGTAACTCATAAAATATCATTTGGTTCCCAGGTTTCCACACAGTGAGGATGTGTAACATTACATAGGACGTAACGTGTGATACGTCTGGATTTTCGAACCGGATAAAGCCAAAGCAGAATAATACGTTGACATATTTAAATAAAATGTTTATTTTCTATGCAGAAATACGAAAGAGAACCCCATCCCCCAGGAAAATTTAGGAAACCTTCACAAGGCCAGAAACATGGGCGCCATTCGTCTGTGTATTTCATGGAAAAGCACGGCTGAAATGCAGTTTTATGCATAACAATCAGATAACCAGTTTAGTGGTTTTGTACCTTCTTTACTTTCCTCGGGAAACTTCTAGTGACACATATATCCCCTGGTGATTCTAGCTTGTGTGGGAACCGAATCCCGTGCAACGTGTAGCCCACAACTATCGTTCGATTCTCGAAAAGTGGAGGACCAGATACCGTGGGATTATTATATCCACCGAGCAAAATAAACTGATGTAGCAAGTTTAACAGGCCCCTTTTGTTCTAGGGACTCTAAAAATAGCAATATACTGTCCGAAAAGACGAAAAGCCAGAGGGTGCCATAATAGTGAATTTGACAAGATCATGTACCGCTTGTTGTGCTTTGCTCAGGACCGGCCTATGCTAAATAGAATAACCGCAAGTTTCTTCACAGAAAGCTAACCTTTGAACAGTATTTACACAGCACAGTTCTTCTCAGTGGTCGTCCCTGTCTTCATAGAGGTTTGTCTTGTTGAATTTCCTCGACTTCTCGTCCCACGACTTGTTAATTAATTATCGCAAAAACGTGCCTCACCAATCAAGTTTACATTTAAGTTCTCTGCAAACAGAGACATCAGAATTCGTTTAATTCATTTGCAGATGCCTCGCGCAGACGAAGAAATCAAGGTGCGGGAGAATGAATATCTTAAACGGCGAAACGTGCATGGTTGTGGCAGATCGATTGAGGAATATGGCGGTCATGGGGTAACAATTCGTCTGTGATATACCCTACGCAATGCATGACAAAATCATTTTTACTGGCACTTCCTCAGTGTAATGTTCACTCACTCCGATACCTCTATGATTGTTCGCGATTCACTGTGACACAGCTCGAACTTCGAACTTTGCCTGTGTAAAATTTGCACCGTGTCTACTATAAGAGCATACACTTTCTATGAAATGTTCTGTTTTCTTACTTTCGGCGGATTTCTGCTCCTGAAACGAAATGAACTTTCGCTAGTAATTTTGTCATTCCCAGTAAAAGGGCAGATATGTGGTAACTGCTTCTATATATGCGTTGCTCATTTAAACTTCAAATAAAATTTCAGTGGAACACAGCAATACAACAGGCACATTTGTTTTGACGTATCGATGTTTCGACGCGCAGCTTCAATCAGTGTTTTTAAATGTGTTGAAAGTTTTATGTATAGGTTAATTATGGAACAACACTGATGAGGTCTATTGGGATCATATGAAAATTGCAGAAGAAAGAGCCATAGATGGTCATTCTTGAAAAATATTTACAATATTGTTAAAAAATCTTGGTGTAGAATCGTTAATTTTTTTGAAAATTTCTGGGAAGGCTGTCCATCTTGAAACCAAACGGTCTCCAAATTATTAATACAAGTTGATTACTAAGGCCACTCTATCGCGCTCCATCAGAAATATAATTAAAATTTAGATGAAACCACCTTTGCTGATCTTGATTCACTCAGAGCCTGAGGCATCATGGGCCAAGTACTCCTGTTCTGTCAGTCTCCTTCAGTGGGCTGTATATCGTAGAGAGTGAGCTTTACTTAGTAGTTCTAAACTGTGATAGAGCGAGGTGGGGTTACTACAAGGGCTTGCCTAAAATGACGCTGTGAAGGAAAGCACCATGACGCCTGCTATTTAAATTTGCAGAGATACCATTATGTTCTTAAATGACAGAAGGACGGAATAAGCCGTACGACAGTTTATGAGCAGCACTTAATGCAAGTGAATAAGCAGCTAAACTTAGAGCACTCGCTGATTCGATGCCATTCTGTTTATCGATCTGACCTGATTATGTGCTCTGGGGAAATGTTAGTGTGACTTGTAGAACGGGGTTTGATTGCCAACAGCTTATCTCACCAAAGCCTGTGTAGGGAAACATTTGCTGCAGAAGGTCCAAATCTTGGAATACGTGTACAGTGAAAATCAAAACTGAAAAGGAAATCTGAGGAATACGTAGAACAGACTAGACCGAGGCTTTGGTATACAATTAGATGATGGTAATCATGTGTCCTTGGCATTCACTGGTCGAAATACACGTAGATGCATATCGACTGAAATGTGGGAGGGTTTCTATCAACAGTTTCTGTCCATGCGATGCCTAACTGCGGTAACCTATTGTTGGAGCGTCCCTTTTGTTTGAAAAGAATCTAGGAAAAAAAAGCAGCCTCACGGAAGCCTAAAAATACATCTTTGGGCACGTCAATCAGAAACAGGGTGTCATACGTAGGCAGATGGCATATGCGATTTCCGTACATTTGATGTTCCATTAGCGAAATTCATGATGGAAACCCTCAACTCTAAAAAGGAGGCTAACAGGAATTTGCGTTGTAAGTAGTATAAAAATAGTGACTTGGAATATTAGGATGCAAATTCTTTTGGACGATTGCTTAAGCTCAGTGCGTCTTGGAATGAGAAGCCAATGTCCGCGAAATACTGAAAAAAAATTAACAGAACTGGAAATATGGGAACGGTTTTTTCCCATTTATTGAACTGGATTTATGATGCCAACTAAGAGGCGGTAATTAATGGTTGCTGAATACTTTATTGATTACTGAAAGCCGCAATTCGGTTAACTAGTTATTTAAATCAATCCTCTTAGCTATGGCTGTGGTCTGTGAGTTTACAAGCTCTCGTTGATCCGCCTCCCTTTCTTGTTCGCGTGGCTGGATGTCATGGCTGCGTCCACTGACGATGGTGGTAGATCTTTGTTTTCTTTGCCCAAACCCTGTCTTTTAAAATTAATTGTAACTGGTTGCGGTATCCTGGGGCCTCTATCATAATAGGTTCAAAAAACGAAAAAATCACTTGTATTCATTGAATTTAGCTAAAAAGTTCCCCAGTGCCTATTTCAGTATTACAATACGCAGCACGATGTTCCGCAGATAGGTGGCCTGAGAATTTGGAAAGCTCTAATATGAGAGACCATACGAAATGAGGTCGATGCAACATTTTGTGTATAGAAGAGTGTCACCAGAAGTTAAGCTGAACCGAAAATAACCTGTCAAAGTTTCTAGCTCACCAATTATGATGGTCTTTGTTGAACCTACTGGCTTGTGATCTGCAGCGGATCTCAGGTTTAGTACTTCCTCCACAGTGGTGATTTAATCAGATACGTTTGCAGTAGGATCATCCCAAACCCAACAAACGTGACTCCATTTAAAACTGGTCTCATCTCAGATATATAAAATGAAAAAGACTAATTTAAAAACAAAGGCTCTTTCCCTTTGGTGGTGATGGTGCTCCATGAGATATCCCTTTGTTCCAGCCCACAATGCACCTTGTGAGTGAAATCTGCGAATTTGAGTGTTTTTCTAAATGGCCATTTCCAATGTCAGTTATTATAACCATACAATAAATAGAAAGACACCCCACATCAGCAAGGCATAGACGAGAAGATGGCATCAATAAACGCAGAAATGCAACAAAATTCTAACTCGAGCAATTTATGTGCAGTGCCTTAGTGCATTGATCCTAAGCACCCACCACTTCGCAACTGCGTAACGAACAAGCCCTCACAATCTTAGGACTGCAGTTCACTTGTTTTCTTCTTTCTCTGATGGGACCGCATTAATAAGTCAGGTCGTTGCTGATTTCAAATATTGGACTCAACTGGCCTGCTAGATGTTTCCTTCATAACACTAGATTTGTTTTCCTTTGCAAAACTGCTTTTACTTTCCTATTTGTGCAGCTAACTACGGATTACGTTCGAGTGCCAGAAAAAGTGTGCGTAAGTGCCTCAAACTAGGCATTCCCTATGGATTATTAAAACATGGGACTGGTGCATGGAGCTGCAGTTAGTCCAGAAGTCATAGAACTATTTCAAAACTTTGCCTTCACTAGGGAACGTGACTCAAAATTCACAGGCAGCACGCAGTCGAATTTTTCGCTGCTTTAGGTTGACTGGGTAGCCTCGGCTAATTTCCCCTTTGTTTGAGGTGATGGGTCACGCATCCAACATGCAGATGGATGATTCATTCAGAAGGTATTCCATGCGCACTCTTTCTAGAACCTCAAATTTTCCTGCTACCGACACTATCATGCAGCATTTCATGCTTTATCAAAGGTTAGCGTTTCCTTGAGGGTTTGCTGAAAGTAATTTATTTCCTGCTACCAAAAATTGCGATGGCGATGCCGAATGGGTGAAATTTACACATAACACTACAGTATATTCCGGCGTGACACAAAGACACATTGGACATTTTATAGCACTCTAATCAGCCGAAATTGGTATTCACAGAATTGATGTAAGCCGCTAAGTGGTTCCCCAATGTACACCGCAACCGAATAAATAATACAACCGATCATCGGCAAGATATGCATCGTGGTTGACGTACCTGAATCACTGCCGTGTCGGAAGTCGGGAATCGAGCCAAAATTTGAGATGATAATACACGCTCACCTATACAAAATTATTTCAGAACTCTTTTACCGTTCGCACAAATTTTGGGATCTGCTGTCGTAATGCTAGAGTGTAGGACAACACTTATATAGAATTTAAGATACTCCGAAAGAAATATATAACAGAAATATTTATCGAAAAACCAAAACGGCAGAATTAATGTTTATTCTCTTTGCCCCAGTAATATACTTGGTATAGTGTTTCAGCGAAAGTCGGATATGCGTACCAAAAAGGTATTTAATAGGCAAAATGAAAAAAGAATTGCATATGATTTTTACTACGCCTAGAGCGAATTCATCTCCTTCTTTCTGGCGAGTAATTAGAACTGTTATCTATAACATCTCTTATTATATACATAATAGTTCTCGTGTGAACACTGTACCTCTGGAGAAGAAAAGCTCTGATGTGCATGTCGAAATACCTGGGTCCAAAAGCCTACACGTTTTTCAGGGAGTAGTGCGGATAGGTATGTGTATATGAATAAAATAGTGGCGTTTGGGGCAAATAATTTTTACGTAGCATATTGCAGCGAGTATTGCCAATCTCCATTGGCGGCTCTTTTCGTTGGCTGATTTTTCATGACCAATCAGACGACCGAGTACATGCATACGCGCTTTAATTTATCCATCCTTATCAAAACTCATGGTAGTGTAGAAGCACAACGAATGAATCAGCAAAGATGTAAGTTTACTTGTTTATTAGTTTGTGAAAAATGTGCGTTTTAATAAACTCGATTTGTTTTGTTGCGCTGAGACGTATCTTTTGACCAGTTATGTTGATTTCTTAATACAAGAGTGGATCTTGAAAGTTGAGCTGGCACTGATAGAAACTTTCAGCAGCCATGTGTCAAGTGGGTTCAAAAAAGCTGATGTCAGGAATATTTATATTTTTTCTATACCGCTTCCGGATAAACGCTTATTAGAATAGGTGTGCGAACTGTCATCTAGAAACACACTGGCCGTCAAGAAGTTAGAAACGGACACCATTTTGTATCCACTCACTCAGTGTGCCATGCATATGGTCCACCTTATCAATTTCCATTTCGCTAAAAACACCATCAAGCCTGGTTGTCTACTGCTTCTCTGTTCTTCTTTGACATATCTTAAACGAGAAGAGCCAAATAAGCGTAATTATGTCGTACAGACTAAATGCTTTAGGTTGTTTGAACTTATTACCATTTCACTAAGGACATTCACCTGTCAGACCATGAGGAAGACTTGCATTCTGCAACATTGCTGCTGGTAAATCTTCCGACCTGCTCAAAACCGCTGTTCACAAAAAAGCCTGAAACCTATAATCCCCGGTTTGAAATTTACATTGGTAGTTATGTTGATATTGGAGTGAAATT